CCCTTGGGCTCTGGCAGTCAGAAACTGGCCCATTTCTGGACTTCCAGAACCTCTGGTAGGCCATTTCCTCCCTCCCTGAGCCTCTGCACAGGCCCTGCACTTACCTGGCATGATGAACAGGCTGCATGGAGACACCTGGGAGGGGAGGGGTGAGTGGGGAGGGGTGTGGCCATCCACGGGTGGCATTTGGGGGTTTGCCGAACTGGGCAAAATTGTAGCTAGAAGATCGCCTGAATCCATGTGACCCCCCCAGCAACCTACCCCTGATTATAATTTATAAATGTTATAGTTAAGCCAATATGGCTTGGATACGATGACTCACAGCTGACGTCTTGCTATATACCTCATATCAGATTCTATGTCTTGCATTCATTAAATTCTGTAAATTACCACTCAGTTTTAATCAGTAGTTCTTGCTCAAGTGCCCTGCTACAAACACACCAAATTGCATGTGGCATTCATATGTATTTTAACAATGCTGCAGTAAAATCTCTGCCAGATGACAACCCTCTGGCAAGCCACAATGATACGCATCCCTGTGGCTTAAAAGGCTACTCTGCAAAGAGTACACATTAATTCAATTTATGAATGTGAAAATCAAAAACCGAGCAGAGAGAAGGCATTTCAATAAAATGAGTTGATAGAAAATCCAAATACAAGCCTGCTTTTGTACTTACACTGTGCTTGTGTGCTTCTACTCAGCCTTCATGAGAATGGAATGTTGGAACAAGTGGAGGATTTGTCTAATTCAAGCTGGTCCTTCTCATGTACCACTATTCTTACAGAAACGAAGGCTGACAAAATCACTTACAATATAATTCCCATTTGTGTTTCCCAAGCCACTGCATAGGTCTTAACTACCATTTGATATAGCAGCTGAACCAGCCTTTAAATGTTTTAGGAATCTCAAGCACCACAAAATTATATCATTCTTATCACCTCAAAGGCCCAGGGGGACATAGGTAGATGAATATGTTACCTGGACTCTAAATAACTTTTGCATTTTAAATCAGGTAATCTCAGAGTAAGAGACTCACTTGGACAAACACATGCAGAAACATTTCTGAATAAACAAGTCAAGCTGCTCGTGCTCATTCTTTAATTTAACCAATCACTTCCACTAGACCAAGAGTGGCTTTTAAGTACTACACCAAAACATAAAGTATGCTTTAAATCAGTGTACCCCAACATTTATGGCACCAGGGAATAGTTTTGTGGAAGACAATTTTTCCACAGATCGGGGAGGAGGGGAGTGCAACCTAGATCCCTCACACGCAANTATTAATAACTATTAATAACTATTAATAACTATTAATAACCATTAATAACCATTAATAACTATTAATAACTATTAATAACTACCAATAACTATCAATAACTATCAATAACTATTAATAAGAGTGGATATGGAGAATATGTGCTTCTTCTTGAATTTAGTACTCTGAATCTGAGCAATGAAGTAAATTCCAAAGTGCAGATTGTGAGGGAACTTTCTTTTCTCTTTTTGAAGAAAATAATATGCTGCATAATCTCCAAGAATAGGAAAGACTTGGGTCATATATTCTGCTGTGATCTCCCATCAAGAAGTGATGAGGGCTATAACTATAAGGAAAGAGCAAGGGAGACATCTTTGTTTTATGCCGGCGCTTGCTGGGTTTCAGCTCTAGTAAAAGGTATTGAAATTAAACTTTGATGGCACAGAAGACATACCTGCTTTTCTCAAGAAATCTTTATTTTTTTGATAATAACCAAGCATGTTGTAACTTAAGGTTGATGAAAGGGGTAAAAAAACCTATGTTGTTCAGTAGGTGTTTTTTTTAAAAAAAACAAACAAACATGTTTTCAATAAAAAAGAAACATTTAAACATTTGTGGACTTTTCCACCATAAATCAATGCTGTTGAGTAGGAATCCAAAATCCACTGAGATAACTTCATATAGGCCTGGGAGTAACTCAAAAATCAGCAGAACATCAGTCAAGCCATTAAGCTTGACACAAGGCAAATCTATGTTTTTTCCTCCCTATGGATATTTACTGACCTTCCATTTTCAACTCTAGGGGTTGAAAGCAGATTTGGTTAACTATTCGTAGAAGCAACATAGAGTAGTAGGAAGCTTGTAGTGTACCATATATTGTTGAATGACCGTTTCCAATAATTATTCCTTTGGGCCATGTTTCTTATAATTCAGAAATATATAGAAAGCCTCGGGTTGCCTAGTCTGAGCAAAGATTGTGTAGGTTTACAAGAAGATGGTCAAGTGATTGATTGATTGATTGATTGATTGATTGATTGATTGACTGACTGACTGACTGACTGACTGAATGAATGATTCCATTAAGTTGTTGTTGACTTTTAGGCATAACAACAGCCAGATTTGAAAGCTGGCATGGGGGCAGGGAAGAGTTCTATGTGATTTATGAATATTATGAAGGATAGTAATTTAAAATCTGGAGCCTTTTTTCTTTGCTCTTGTAAGAGTATTATCATTGAAAAATGTAGTATTCAAAATGAATCAGCTTCATATCTATATAATTCATAAACATGAATAACCTAGACATCCTTTAGCCACTTGCTAAATCCTTTTTTCTAAAGAAACATATGTATGTATGGAATATATACAAGAATCCATATTCCAAGCTAATTTCACTAGTGTTATATTAAATAAGTACTATAGCAATCACTGGAAATATACTAAATCAGTTTATCTAAGTTATTTGATTGGTCATTTCAAATTTTATTTTTCTAAGCTATTTCCAACTCATTAGTAACTAATGAACTGTCTAACATGTTTTCTCTAAAAAGCAGTAAAACTCAGGTTTTTGCCTTGCAAAGATCTTAAAAGTTATAGCTCATAATAAATATTAGTTCAGTTTTAGTTTGCAGAATCAATGGGTTTCTTTTTTTCAAATTTAAAAAGCCGCTAAACATTTGTAGCCTCTTTGCTGAATCCTTTAATAAATGTACTGATTTGGAATCTGAGTTAATTTACCCTTTTGCATTGCTTGGAGTGTATAATTATTCATAAGCCAGACTGCTGATAATACACATTTAGCTGGCTTTCCAAAAAATTAAAGGGAAGCTCAGGAAAAGGAGACTGTCTTTTTCTAGAAGTATAATCCTTGGGGCTGAATTGTTTTGTATTATGAAGTTATTAATTGACAAAAACCAAATAAGTAGTAGTAAAAATTGCTTCCTCCCAAATATATGACAAAGTAGATATGGAAGCCTGTTTTTCCTCAAAAGGGTTAGTAGTATAGTAGTAAACACATTACTGATGTAAATAGACGAATTCTTTTTCTTCCTCCTCCTTCTCTAAATCAATCTTTAAAGTGCCAGAATGAAGCATCTTTCTTGACTTTGTCATTGGCCAAAATTAAGTAATTACTAGTACATGTTTCTGGTAGTAGTAAATATACCAGCAGATAGGCTGGGCTCTGTGAACTCCACATTCACATAGCAAGTTGCTATCTGCTAAGACCGTCCACTTGAGCACATTGGTTTTACATTAAGGCACAATAACTCTTAATCTATTCAGGGTCCTCCAAGTAGTATAAAGGAAGTCAGATCCTTCAGCCATATCCTCCTTTAATGTTATTCCTTGCTCAGTCATCTCCTTCTTCCATCTTTTAATTGGATTTTGTTCTTGTGTACCCTCAAAAATGTTTGTTCCTGCATAAATACATTAATGATGCAAACAAATAGAATATGCTCACTTTTTCCACTACTAAAGTTTGTACAAGATAATGAGATTTTTATAATGAAGGAGGACCAAAGAACAAGGAAAACTGAACACTACATAAAGTTTAGATGATGACTTTTACTCCATCTAGTCCAGAATTATCAGTAAATTACCATTATCAGTAATTTTTCAACATGCAACCCCCCCCCCCCCCCCCCCGCTCAATTTCTCATGGAGATGCTGGAGATCAACCTTAGGACCTTTTCGTATACCCCACTTTAGCACTCTATGACTAATATTTATAACCCTCTGAGATGGACAGTTAAGAAATATGAAATATAAACAAACAAATATAGGTGGATATATTGTCAACAACACTAATCTGAGGATGAGATAAAGGAACATGAAAAAGTTACAACCTAAAATGCTAGATCTCTAAGACATAATCAACCAAATCTGCCAGTATTCTCTACAGATTTCTGTTCCCAGTTAATGTGCATTCCATGCTAGCATCTGCTTCAGATAAAAGCCATCTAATGTGCATGCATACACAAGTACAAATGCACATGTGCATGCGCACACAAACACAGACGTTTGCTGTTGGCATGGTTTTCTTGTCTGCTTTCCAGGAAGAATTCAAAACCAGAGATCACACCGAAATACATAAAAATGCAGATGCTGAAATCACTGCCACCAGAGTAGATGATTCAAGAGGAAAAAGTCACATCAATTGCAGAGGTTTTCTATTTCTCATTTCTTAACAACATCATTTCAGAGTCCATCTCAGAGCTTTGTGTCAAATCCACAGGATGTCAATTCTAAGCTTTGATGATCCTTGTTTTGTTACTCCTGTCAGCCTTATATGCTGAACAGTCACATCACCAAGGATTGGCTTCCTATGAAGCAACATATAATACTTACTTCAAATGCTTGTTGAATTTCAAAATATGTCAAAACAGGGCTCCAAATAAACAATTTAGCTACAAAACTACACTAAACTATGTGTGTGTGTGAGAGAGAGAGAGAGAGAGAGAGGGAGGGAGGGAGGGAGGGAGAGGGAGAGGGAGGGAGGGAGAGGGTGAGAGAGTTTTAGAACATTTTGACCATAATGCCAAAGCCCCACTAAATTAGAGAGGTCAGGTTTTATGCCTTCAGGTCATTTTCTCTCTCTCTCTCTCTCTTTAGAATATGAGTAAATGATTTATATATGTCTATACAACTTCATAACCACACAGTTATGATAAATTTGGGACATTATATTATGTACAGCAATTAAACAAGAGGTTTTGTAGAAATTACTAGAGTAAGTAAACAACCTACCAGAATACTTAGTCCATCTTCTACCCTTCTTAATTCCTGGCCTGTTAGGAAGGTACTCTAGAAGTAATTCTACTTGCTTGAGTCCCACACACACAAGACTTCTTTTTGGGGGATAGCAAGATTGAAGCCAACCCACTTGTGTCAAAGTGCCAGTCTTTCTTCATAGTCTTAACCTGTTTAAAACAGGAAGAGAATATTGAATTCAATATCATTCACAAAATAATATTCAATGCTGGTATAAGAATTTGTAAAAGCTGAATTATGTTTGTATTTCATCAAGGAAGGAGGAAGTGATTAACAGAATATTGAAAGTCATAAAAGCAAAACTGACTTCTATTAAACAAAAATAGCATTATATTAAACTTCAGTAAATTTAAGATACACAGTTAATAGGAGGATTCTACTAGGTATCTCTCTTTTTCTCTATGAAAATCACAACTACATGGATCCAAAAATCACATTGAAAAGTAGTTGTATACATATATACATAGCTTATCAGTCATTCTTATTATCCATTCTTGCATTAGAAATCACACTGAAATCATGTGCATTAAAAACATCAAAAAAGCTTCTCTCAGATAACTAGAAAAAATCTTTGCCCAATATCAGCTGTTCTTTATGGTTGAGAAAAGCCTAAAATCTGGTGGTTTGATGCTGTTAAGAATAGATACAGGATAGGGTTGTTATAGAATTGCAGTTTCCTAGCAAATACATGTGTGTACACATTTTTATACCTAAGTTACATTTCAAAAAATAGAAAAAGTTGAATAGTTTGTGTATAGTTTCCAGAAGGGCAGTTTCCATTAAACTGCAAAGCAGGCAAATTCAAAAGAAATCCTACACTAAATTGTTGAAATAATTTGGACTAAATTCATAAGTAGCAAATTTAAAATTATTAACAAAGTCAAATCAATTTAAGTGTGTCTATGTACTCAAAGTACAATTCAGTTTTCATCAGTCATTATCATGTTCATGTCAGCCCTTCCACCACTATCACAGTCAACCAAATTCTGAACATGCCCTTTTTGGCATAGGTTTTAATTAAAAATCACTGATACACTTATGAAAATATAAAGTTTTAAAGTCAAAGAATTAGTTTCCTTTTTTTAAAAACATCCTTCTTTGTCCAACAAGAAATGAATTCAGTTAATCTATGAATGAAAAGTAAAAAAAAATATTATTTAATAATTTATGTATTTTATATAAAATGATATGAATATGGGTATTCTCTCTCCTCCACTTGTATCAATAATTTTCATTATTCATTCTTATGGTTTATTGCACATCCACTCAGATGTTCAGACTGAATCAGCATTTTTATCCACCTATCGACTCCTTTCTAAGGACCTGTGATAGGCAGATGTTGATGTCTGATTGTGTTAAAGGTATTGTCACAGGATGTAAACTGTTGCAAGCAATGCTGCCTTTTAGAATTGACTAATAGTGAATTTGTTAATGTAGATGGTGTTCAAGAGGTGATCCAGTTGTTTTGAGACTGCACCCAAGGTGCTATTATAATTATAATTATTATAATATTTATAAAATATTTATGATCACCCATTCTAAAATGGTCTGTTTATCTTATATACTGTAATATTGGATTAAACAATTAAAATGGTTAAAAACACAACCATGTACATTAAAAAGAACAACCATAACAATTAAAAAACGCACACAACAGGGGCTTCACAAACACACTAACTAATTGTTCCCTAATGAAAAAAGAGCCAGGCTTGAAGGAGTTCTAGAATCACTGAAGAATTATACATACACCATTCTCTGTACTCGGTGGACAAAACAATTGAAATACATTGTTCCATAAGTAACCATTTACTATACCATGAAGGGTTTTATACATGATGTATTACTTCTGCTATAGTACAAGTCACTTTGGGCATCAATGAAGTTAACAGAGTGCTCCATATGTAAAAATGAATGTATTTAATGTCTTTATCACAACAATTTTCCCCCAGTAAAACTAAAGCTTAAAGTTCATTTCAATTCAACTCAGGTTGTGGTGACTTTATGGATGTGTCCAGATATTTTCTTGACATCTTATCGGAAGTGATTTGTCTCAGTTTTGTTCTTAGATGACTTTGGACTTTTCAAGTAAGCCTACGGGAGTGGTATATGCAGAGGTGGGTTCCAACCGGTTTGGACTGGTTTGGCCAACCGGTAGTAGCTTGGCGGCCTGGGTCACTGGAACTGGCAGCAACCCAGGCCTGTCATGCCCCCAAACCAGTTCTCTCGGCGGCGTTGTGGGTGCCGCCATCTTGTTTTTGCCTTCTGCAAATGCACTGAGCAATTTTTGTCTCACTGTGCATGCGTGCACAGCGCACACATGGGGAAGGGGGCATTTCTGAGTGAACCAGCAGTAGCGGCAGCCAGGACCCATCCCTGGGTATATAGGATAGTGGAGTTCTTCTATCTATTAAAGCCCTAAGCAAGTTGGATTCTGCTATTGCTGGACCCTGCTAGTAGTCAGCTCCAGAAAAGTTTTGTATGTTTTGTTTGTTTACTTATTTGTTTGTTTGCCTTTACTATTTTTATGAATAACCCATGGTGGCAAACATATCCAACAAACCTTCCTCCTATTTCCCTCACGAAAATCACCATATGAGGTGAGTTGGACTGAGAGAGAGTGACTGGCCCAAAGTCACCCAGCTGGCTTTCATGGCTAAGGCAGGACTTTCAATTCATGGCCTCCTTGGTTTTTTTTAGCCTGGTGCCTTAACTACTAGATCAAACTGCTACAACAACATTTGGTTAGTTCCAATAAAATTATACATTTAAAAATATTTTCTCCCTTCCAAGAAAAAAATGTAGAATGTCCCCCCCCCCCAAAAAAAGGAACTCTGATTCAAAA